TGGCGACGTTTTCGCATTCGTTCTGTTAGTGTTGGCTGGAGAGTCAGTCGCCTTCCATAGAAGTAAACTTTGATGGAGTCTCGAGCGAGTTCAAGTCAGCTTTTAGTCAGCAGTTGTGGATGTTATACGTCTCGTCTTGACACGTCCATGTCGTTGGAACGATGGAAGATGTTTACAAAGCAATGCCGAATAGGAGGACATACCTGCTGCATTCAAGCTATGCTTCGTCTACATCATCTAGTGCCTTAAGGTGTTCAAGACTCAGCCGGTTGTCGTTCGGCCAGCAACGAGCGGGGTTGGGATGATCACCACTGAGCAGAGTTCGCGACGATGTCTACTTCGTGGACTTGCCCTCATCGTAAGCGTACTACTGAAGGAGAACAGCGTAGGTCTTCGGGGCGAAGTTGAAGATGGCGGCATCCAGAGGATTTCTCAAGGGTTTGCGTAGCGTACAATCCTCTTCGGCCATATGGTGGACCAACCATAGCCGTCCATGTGTGGCAAGCGGAACACAGCACAGTATCCGTAGGCCTTATCTCGGACAGCGCCGTACCTTCGTAGCAAAAGCAACAGAATACCTCCCCGCCTACCCGGACCTCACAGAATCCCAATCCACCGTCCGCGAAGCCATCGGCAAGATCTGCTCCCGCTTCCCAGACGAGTACTGGCTCAAAGTCGACAACGAAGCTCGCTGGCCCGGCGAGTTCCAGCAAGCCATCGCCAAAGACGGCTGGCTAGGCATCATGATGCCGTCCGAGTACGGCGGCAGCGAGTTGGGGCTCTCTGAAGCTACTGTAATGATGCAGACGATCTCTGAGAGCGGTGGCGGGATGGCGGGGGCGAGTAGCGTGCATATGAATATATTTGGTCTGGCGCCGGTGGTGAAGTATGGGAATGAAGAGCAGAAGAAGCGGTTTTTGGTGCCGTTGATTGAGGGGAGGGAGAGGAGTTGCTTTGGGGTTACGGAGCCGAATACGGGGCTTGATACGCTGAAGCTGCAGTCTTTGGCTACTAGGGATGGGGACAAGTATGTGCTTAAGGGGAGTAAGATTTGGACCTCGACTGCTCAGGTGGCGGAGAAGGCTCTTATGCTTGTGCGGACTACGCCGTTGGAAGCTGTTAAGAAGTCAAGTGAGGGGCTTACGTTGTTCTATACGGACTTGGACCGGTCTGTTGTGTCGGTGACGGAGATCAAGAAGATGGGCCGCGCTGCGATTGATACGAACCAAATGTACTTTGACGGCTGGCGGGTTCCAGTTGAAGATCGCATCGGAGAGGAAGGACAGGGCTTCAAGATGATCATGCACGGTATGAACGCCGAACGAATCCTGGTTGCCGCCGAAGCTCTGGGTCTTGGCTATGCTGCTCTGCGACATGCGAGCAGATACGCTAAGGAACGTGTCGTGTTTGGCAGGGCGATTGGGCAGAACCAAGGCATCGCTCATCCACTTGCGAAAGCATGGATCGGACTCGAAGGCGCGAGGCTGATGACTATGCAAGCTGCGAAGATGTGGGACGAAGATTTCGCATCGGGCGAGTATGCCAACGCTTGTAAGTATGCAGCGGCGGAAAGTGCGTTCACGGCTTGCGAGACTGCGGTGTGTTCGATGGGAGGAATGGGATATGCTAAGGAGTTTCACGTGGAACGCTACCTTCGCGAAGTCATCATCCCACGCCTCGCACCCGTCAGCCGCGAGATGATCCTCAACTACATCTCAGAAAAGGTGCTCGACCTCCCCAGGTCTTACTGAGCCCTTCGTACGAACGACCACGACCGTCAGACAGAGATCGGCTGAGGATCAGCAGGATCCACATCATAGGCAATCCGACCCGAAGGCAAAAAGAAGAATGCGAGACCCTTCCCGCCACGCGATCGTGGGTAATGGTGTGTTCCAGGTCCCAAGCTCGTCCAGCCGGCACCTCGCCAGTTCTCGCCAACAGGCAGGCCTTCGAGCTGGAAAGTTGGGTTGATTGGAATGACACAGTTGATCTCTCCATACGGATGTTTGTGGTACTGGCCAGCATACTCCGCCTCAGAATCGAAGTACACGCATGTCAAGGACATGTAAAGGTTCTCGGGAAGAGGTAGTTGTATCTAAAAACTCTTCGTTAGCTCAAGATCTGTACAATATCTCGAGAACGAGATTGACACACTCTGCCTCGCCGATATTTGCCATTGTCGAGATCACCAGTCGCCACCCAGCCTTCTTCAAAACCTTGCTTTAGGAGTCTGCGGAAATCTTCATAGTAAGGATTGCCAGGCCCATAGTCGCGATTCAGTCGTTCCTCGAGAGCTTTGCCTGGCGTGCTGGATGAATATCAGCGCAGGAACCGATAGTAGAAGACCGATCAACGTTTCCGTACAAGTCTTTCACTTCCTTCAAGAACTCCAGAGACCGTGTAGCGAGTTTTCCTGCGGTAGTATGGGTCGTTGTGTCGATGCCGTCCATTGATCCACCGTGGTCTGTTGAAGATCGATCAGCTGATGTTCTCTACGAATCCTTGACGGCAGAGCTCACTTGCACCGCAGTTACTGCATGGTATGACATGCTCGTAAACCTCGTGGTTAGCCATCGTGTTGGTACCTTTTTTCTGAGTCTGGTTGCATGGCCAATATCATTTATACTGACACTACAGTCAGCATCGGCACGAGGAGGGGCTGATGCATGCAGAAGAACCCCTCTGAAGGTGCTGTTGCGGCTGATGATCAAATGCAACGATCAACCAATTTGGTCTAGGCCGAAACAGGGCATCTAGACATATCGCCATCAAACATGTTCGTCTTGAATGCCAGAAATATGTACAAATGATCGACGTCAAAGCTGTTCATACACTATCTCACCCTCGCTACTGAAGCGGCGGGAACTTCCTCAAAAAGTGACTCGGGCACTCATAACCGCCCGGGTTATTATCCAAGTACAACTGATGGTACTTCTCCGCGTCCCACCACTCGCCCGCCTGCAGGATCTCGGTGCTGATGCCGCTCTTCCACCACTGCTCGCTCGCCTTCTTCGTGACCTCTTCCGCTACTGCCTTCTGCTCATCATTATGGTAGAAGATCCCGCTTCGGTATTGCGAGCCAACGTCTGGGCCTTGCCGGTTGGAGGTCGTGGGATCGTGCATGCGGTAGAAGTACTCGATGAGTTCGCGGTAGGTGAGCTTGGTGGGGTCGAAGACTAGTTGGCATGCTTCGGCGTCTGCAATCTACTATCAGTATTGGAGTGTACGAGTGTATTTAATTGGTGGCGACTACTCACGTCCGGTCCTGCCCGAGCACACAGCGCGGTAGCCAGGGTCTTTGGTGTTGCCGCCGATATATCCCACTCGTGCGTCCAGCAGACCTTTGCCATCGAAGTCGTGTCGATACATGTGCTCGACGCCCCAGAAGCAACCAGCTGCGATGGTGGCTCGCTCCGCGCCTTCAGGCAGAGCCATGGTCGTCGAGCCGCCGGACTCGGGTGTGAAGCGCATTGTGCTGGAGGTGAAGGGCCGGGTGAAGCGCTGGAGGATGGACGCCATGGTTGGGAAGGCGACGATGGAGATAAGAAAGATGAGGAGTTTGGTAACAGGCTTCAGTTTGATGGTTGTGATGTTTGTGAAGGGGTTGAGGATGAGGGATATGTATATAAATGTATTTGAGATGATCGCGTAGCTTGATGTCATGATTCCAGCCGAGGGGTCCCTTCGCCACACTGCAGCTTTCGTTCCACTCGTTCAGCCGCCATGTGATTCCTCATCACCATATGCCACATGTTTGTGCGAATAGTACGAAAGTGTGGCATTCGCTCTGGTGAGAAGAGCATACAATTCATCGATGGGAGGGCTGATGGTAAAGGCATCCAATAGACCACACCTTGTCTTCGAAATTCGCTGTTAGCTGCCTTGTGGCTCCTTGGTATAGTTCTACCTTGACCACCACAGCTTCGGTCGAGACATCGTCCATCCAGCAGAACCTCGAGAGGTGTAAATACGGTATGCAGCCGATCTACGTATATGAGCCGATGAAGCTTCTCCACGTGGGGTAGATCAGTCAAATCTAACTAACGAAAAGCCTCCGATCCTACCAGGCTCAGAGGAGCGCCTTGTAGCCTAGTAGAAGAGGTAGGGCAAAAGCTTTTCGTCTCGTCTGCTTCCTACTCTTCAACATTATAACATAACGGGAACAAGAAGCAGCGCGAATCTGCTGCAAAAATGCTTTTCCGCCGCCCCTTCATCGTCACGCCCTGGTAACCGCCAAAGTCCGTGAGCTAATCGTGATGGGCGGCACCTACCCCTCCGGCTGGGAATACAACTTCGGCGGCGTCGATCCGGACAGCACCGCGTACGTGCTTGACCACTGGCCGAAGACTGTGCCGACCACGTACTCTGGCTTCGAGCTAGGCCGGACCATTGAGTCGGGGCAAGAGCTCGCCTCCCACTCCCCTCCCGACTCGCCGGGGTTGGCGGCGTATCAATGGTACGTTGGGCGGGGCAGGACGGTGGAGAAGTCTTGGGATCCGGTTACGGCGTTGTATGGGATCCTTGGGCTGGACTGGTTCGGGAGGTTAGGGGTGAAGGCTCCGTTTGCGTACGCGAATACGTTCGGGTATAACATTATCATGGCTGCTAATGGGTCGAATGCGTGGATTAACGATACGCGGGTTACGAATCAGCATTGGCTGCGGCTGGCTGACGGTGTGAAGGAGGAGAGCGTTGCGTGCTTGTTGGCTCAGTTCTATGCGCGTGATCCGGTGGTGACGACGTGTCTTATGAGTAGGATGGAATGTTGATATACGGGCTCGGCCGGCGCCTGTCTAGTCGTAGAGCCATCCTAAGAGCAGCTGTGGTAAGACGTTGGAAGTTCCTTCAGGAGCAGGAGAGGGGCGCAAAAAAGTGAGCTATGAAAGGAACGCCAACAAGCTGTACTTACCTACTCCATACCTTGACCACACCAGCAACATCCGAGATATCTCCTCGAAGGTATATAATACGGTTCTTTCTCTCTTCTCCCACTAAGAAAGTCCTGGATAGTTCAATTGGTCAGAATGTAGGGCCTTCGTATACCGGGTACTGCTGCAAGTTGCTGACAGATGATGACAGATCTGCTCGTCTTTCGTAGCAACGATAGCGTGGATGATGGAGGTTCAAATCCTTCTCCGGGAGTTCGATTCTTTTGGCAGTCTTGTTTTGCTGGTAAAGAAATGGAAAAGAAATAGAAAAGGAAACAGAAAAGCGGAGAGTTGTTTTGCTTAACACATGGACGTTTTCGAGGACGTGGTTGCAAGCTTGGCCGTCTTTCCGGCTGGCAGTCTTTTTTTCTCTTGAAGGCGCCGCCGGTGAGAGAGTCGGACTTGCTTCCATTCGACGAAGGACGAAAAGAGTCCTGCATCTCCGGTACGATGTCCGGGTAGTGTGTAGACGTCCAGTAGTCATGGTATGGGCATATCCATATTGAGTCGTTGTGGAAGGGAAATACGCGTCCGTTCATGAACTCTGAAGGCCTCACGACCTCAAACCACGTTTGATCAGGTCTTGTACCAGTGGAATAGATCATTCCAGGCGCAATTCGAAATTCAAAAGATATGTTGTTGGTGTTGTTGTTAAGAGGAGAAAAAGAGCACTGAAATTGAAACGGAAGTTGCTCCGAGATCTTGCCGAGATCCATAGGGCTGAGGCAGGAGCGAGCGAGCTCCTCCAGCTTCCGATACCTCACAGCGTCGAAGCACACCTTGAACACATCCACCACCGCCACCATGTTCCTCCGACGAGCTGTACCGGCTCTCAGCAAGCGCGCCATCGTACAGCCAGCGGTGAAACGCTCCTTCGCCCTCACCACCCGCCGCTGTACGTCCCCAAACCGCACGCCAACACCCCCGAGCAGAGTTGGCTAACAGCGCGCAGTCGAGTCCCGCGAGGGCAACCCCAAGCCCGGCCAGGACTCATCACTCATCAAGCCCATGGACCGTACGTATACACTACGGAGGAGAGATATGGGCATGCGATGGCTAAGACAGCACGCAGAACTCCACGGCATGGAGGACCTCGTCCCCCCAGGCGGCCAGCCCGGTACCATCCCCACCGATCTGGAGCAGTCGACGGGTCTCGAGCGATTGGAGATTATGGGCAAGATGCAGGGCATAGACGTCTTCGATATGAAGCCGCTGGATGCGAGCAGGCACGGTACGTGAGGACGAATGCGGCCCGGGTATACAGCCGACTGTCGGTACATTCCGCTAATACGGTGATACCAGGAACCCTCAAAGACCCAATTGTGGTCAGAAGTTTCGGCGACGAGCAATACCTCGGCTGCACCGGCTCGCCCGCAGACAGCCACGGCACCCTCTGGCTCGTGACGTCTCGTGAACGTCCGGTTGAGCGCTGCCCGGAGTGCGGCTCTGTCTACAAGATGGAGTACATCGGCCCTCCAGACGACGATCACCACCATGAGGAGCACCACGATGTGCCGGACTATGTGCATCCGTATGAGGGCGAGTTGCAGACGATTGCGAATTTTGTGCGGCCGGAGTATAGATAGGCGTGGCTGGCTATCGAATCACTTGGACGACAAGGCCAAAGTTTCGAGGGAGTCGGCATGGTGTGCGTGGGCAGGCGTAGTGTATATATCAGCAAAGAATGGCTCATCCACACCAAGAACGAAGTCACTTTCTCCCTTTCAGAGTCCCAGCTCGCACCTTGTTCTGCATGCCGCTGGATACAGTCGCCATACCAATCATACAAATTTGCCTTTGTACACTCCGTCCAGTCTTGCTTCGTTTATAGCATGTATTCGAACTGCTCATAGGCTTCGTATTCGCACGGACCACGCTGTTTGGGTTTGGGTTAGAGGCATCAGGATATTCGTCTTCCGTCCCTCAACTCCATCAGCGCCTATGATGTAGGAACAACGCTCGCATCATACCACACAGAAATTACTGGGACATGTCTACTGCAGCAAAACCATCGGCTTCCTTCACGACCAAGCGGGTCAACCGGTCCACGTTCGTCATCTACGAAGATGACATTTACGCCGGCAAGTAAGCTTGGGTGCAATGTCGAAGACACTGCTAATCTTGTACCAATTGTTTCCAGAGCATCCACTTGTATACGTGAAAGTACATCCCAGAGGAGCCCCTGTGATCGTTCTTAGTGATACGGGATGCGATGAACCGAGCGAGAAGCACAAGCACGGTATGCCGCCACTATTGAACCAGTTACGTTCTTCCATATCTCGTCTCACATATGTACCTGCGAACCCGTGGCATTGCGGCGCACAAACCATCTCGATCCCCACATCTCGAACAACACCAATGCCACGGTCTGTACTGACAGCTCACCAGATCGCTACGTCCGCCTTCGTCAGTACCTTGAGGAGTGCCCTGTCGAAGACAACGACAACAAACCGCTGAACCCCAACTGCGACCAATATTTTGTCATCCTAACACACTGCCACTACGATCATATAGGCGGCATCGGCCAGTTTCTACCAGGCGGTACTACCGAAATCATCATGTCATCCTCTGGACGAGACTTCGTCGAGTCGGACCTCGAAACTCACGGCTTATTCAAGTATATTTCCAAACCGGTCCCATGGTTCAAAGTCACGCACTGGGCCAACTCCTTCGAACGGCTAAAGTGGCCGATATGGCACGATGATGAAGAACCGCAACCTTTTCAGACGGAAATTGGGTTATCCATCATCCACACCCCTGGCCACACGCCAGACGAGCTCGCTTGGTACGACCATGATGAGATGCACCTGTCTTGCGGCGATAGCTTCTACGAGGAGGGCGAGGATGGCATGCCGATTATCTTCCCGGCTGAAGGCAACTTGATCGAGTGGGTGTTCAGCATGCAGAAGTTGCTTGTCTTCGTGCGGTCAGAGAATGCTCGGGCTGCTGCAGTTGCCGAGAAGGCGACGGAGAATGGTTGGGTGCAAGTGGCCAAGCGGGTGAAGGTCAGCTGCGCGCACCAGACGACAGCAGCTGACGGCGAGGAAATCCTGGCTACGCTGGAAAAGTTTGCCGCGCGGGTGTATAATGGGGATGTGCCGGTGGTAAAGAAGGAGGTCTCGCACGAGGAGGCGTACTACACCTGGCGGGAGGAGGATAATGAGTCCAAGATGTCTATCAAAGCTCCGGCGAGGTTGATGGATGATGCGAGGCGGTTCTTCAATCTTGATGTAAGTCAGGCTGGATCATGATGTTGCGTAGATACCAAGGCCAGCTTGAGATTAGAGCAGATAGGCGTGGTGGATCTCTTGTATGATGACCCTATCGAGACGACAGCCGTGAAGATGGAGTGCTGGAGTGCTTGGAGAGGACAAAGAACACAGAGAAGACGAGGCGTCCATATCCTCACCATCAGCGAATAACTCGCGCAACGACTTCTGCCCAACCCTCTCTGCATATCTGCGCCTCAAGCGTTTCACAAGTCATCCTCGGAGGTTTTGCGCATCCGCAACCCCATTCTGGGGAAAGCGATCCCCGGCCTGCTACAACCAAAAATACTCACCTCTTATCTAAGGATTTGGCGACGGCTGTTTGAGATCTCCTCCCCCGGCCTTCCATCATCCTTCTAGAAGGCCGCTAGAATTCCTGGGTCAATGTTGTGCAGGTGTTAGTTCCCTGTGTGATGAGCATGAGTTGCAGATCGCCTCGCAGCCGTTCGACTTCACCTCGTTCAGGCTTACAGTCCTGGCGCGTGCTATCGCGTCTGCTGGCTTGGTGTGAGGGATTTTTGGGGTTCTACGGGACTTGTAGGGTTGAGAAGAGGGCTCGGCTGTTCCTGGAAAGCTGGTGGGCGGTGTTCAAGCCATGGACAAGGCAGCATGCTGAGTCGAGCGCTACAAGGAAAGCACAGTCGGTGAGCGTTGCGCATTGCATTCATGAACACGGCCGGCTAGACGATGGTAGCTCGATGGTGTTGTAGAAAATCTGTAGGTGGCGTCGTACAAGGTGTTTATGGTCGTTCCTTCCTCCGCCAGTCGGAAGCGAAAGTCAACTTCACCCAGACTCCGGTTCAAATTCTGGGATCCGCAGGTAGAACAGAGCAAGCAACCAGCACCGCGGTAGACGTACGCCTATGAGCCACATGATCGGAGAACTCTGAATAACGATGGCGTTTTCGTAGCATCGGCTCGACAAGGAGTAACGCCACTGCGTCTCAACATTGCCGTCAGTAAGGCCTTCTCAGAACAGCCGAGAAATGGGAAAAAAGCCTGCGCGTTGCCACCAAGTGCTCTGGTGTCTGGGAGAAGAGTATACCTGGCATATGCACAGTATCCCGGCAACCGCTGCAGCCTTCTGGTAGTTCGACGTCAGGATCTCCGCACCATCTCTAGGAAGCAGTAGCGTCCTCCCAGCCCATCTCAACGGTATCCGATGGTTTCTGCGAGCCTTGGGGTACCTGGGACTGTCGTTCATCGGGCAGGATTCACTTCCACTTCATCTTGATTCCTTCCTGAGGTACAGATAGTTGCATCTTATGCCAAGTCGGATCTCCGGCATGAGCCTATTACGCCCTCGACGCCTCTTTAACGCTTGTGCCATGCGAGGCGGAGAAAAGGCGGCGAAGTCGACATGATCTTTACTACAAGGGGATGACGTACCGCCAGGCAAAAGAATCCCACGCCTTGTATATCGAAACGTAATGCCTTCATGAACATCCGGAGTGGGCCGGCGTCCGGGTACTCGGAGGTGGTTCCCAGAGAGAAGAAATTTCTTGTGTTGGACCTCGATACGATATACGATAGGTCCAAGGAAAATTGATGGGCCGCTGAAATCATGTGACACTCGCACGGTTGCGTATGCCGAGGGAAACGCTACGATTCCTTCAAATCAACGCACGGGGATCAGGCTGAGCTGCGGGACCCTTGACATGGTTACTTGGGTTGCAGCTTTCGACGGCGCGATACATTGCAGAGTCTAAGCCACAACCGGCTGGTTGATTGGAGCGGCAAACTTCATCGCAGCAGCAAAAGTAGTCGTGAATGCGGATGCCCGAGTCCGACTCGCTTGGCCTGCACCGTCGCGTGTCCTGCGATCTTGCCCGCAAAGGTGTGACACGGCTGAAGGCCCCCCCACTAGTGACGAGATAGATAAGCTCGGGATGCTACCTTCTTTGATTTAGCGATTGTCTCTCTTTTACTACTCTCTGCTTCCCAC